CACACACCAATGTGCAGATGGGCACACATCCAGGTCCCGGTCGAAGCCTCCAGCAGTCAGCAGACCTGCCCATATGGCTGGAAAAATGTGTGCAATGGTCCAAATATTGCAGGCCTGTAATTGGACAGTAGATGAAGTGGATTTTAATGACAGCTGTTATAGAGGGCTTTTTGGATGGTTCTGGAGATGTGCTCTTGAGAGCTAATTGTAAAATCTTATTTTTCATTTTGTGAAATAATTACAATAAAAAACTTTTTTTTTAAATGCAGTATAATTAAATTTAGCCTTGACATTGGACAGAGGTATGAAAGACATTGGGGCCAATTGGACAGAGGTATGAAAGACATTGGGACGACGTCTGAAGTAGAATTCTTCTTTTTTTCTTTTTTTTTTTAAATCTATCATTAAATTTACCGAAACACCACCAAATTAAGCAGCTCGCAGGGCTCATCTGTAACCTCATCAGATTAGCATATTTAATCCCTAAAACAAACAGCAGATTGTGTCAGGGCGCAGCAGGGGTGACACTGAAACGCAGAAGGTCCCTTCCCTTCCTGTTTTGTCACCTTCTGAGACGTGAGCCTTAGATTGTGCCCGCAGCAAACTGTTGAAAATCTCTTCACAGAAAAACAGGGATGCTCACTTTCCCTCAACAGGAAGAGAGGATGAAAAGACAGGAAATGAAAACGACTTAGTCTTTTTGTCAGGCCTGTGCTATTGAAGTGAGGGATTTAGGAGAATTAAGAGATACATGGGAATTTCCTACAGCGCGGTGAGACTTACGTCAAATTTAAACTGTCATTATGAAATAAAAAACACCATCAGAGGATTCACTTTGTGACCCAGAAACACCTCTGCCATTTCAGCACTCCGCCCGGTGGTAAACAGGAGGAACAATAGCACCAGTGTGGCGGTTGTAAAGGTGGCGGAGGCTGGACGCACGCTGACCGTCAGCACTTCACAAAGCCCCAGAGAAAAGCAGGCGCTGGGGGATTCTGCAAACTGTGCTGGAATCGCTGATCCCCTCCCAAAGGGAAAGCTATTTGTCTTCTTTTTTTCTTGTCAGTGTGTGTCAGTGTGTGTGAGTGTGTGTGTCAGTGTGTGCCTGCACTTGTAACAAATGCAAAGAGAGGCTTAGACGGTTTGTTTTGATAAGATGTCTGCGTGTGATCCGGTTTGGAAGCTCCTGTAGACAAAGAGGTTTGAATTATCGTTGGGAAGAGCTGGCGGCGGAGCAGACAGAGCCCGTCTCACCTTGACATCTGCTGCAGTGCACAGCTCTCTGATGTTGTCAGCAGTTGTCAACACAAAACTTTGTATTTGAGTCACACTAGAGTGTGTTTCTGTAGAGGCGCTGGGTCTGATTTTTGACATGGAAACCCTGGGCAGAACAAATATTTCAAGGCCTGCTGCTGGAGGGCCTTGAAACTGCGCTTGACATTTGGACATGTTTTTTTGGTCGTCCAGTCATTGAGATGTTGTCCTTCATTCTGGTATAATAATCCAAAGTTTGTTAAAATTCCTTTTTACAATGGTTCGTACTTTCGTATTTTGGAAAGTTCTGGTCACAAAACAACTTCTCTGTCATCCTGATGTTGAGCTGTTTTGTACAAAGGAGAATGGACTCTTCTGCACCTGAGCCAATGGCCTTGCATCTTGTCCTTGTGGTGAGCGAGTTTGAACAGGATGAGCTCCGGAAAAGTTCAAGCTGAACAGCCGTCAGATAAAAAAAAAAAAAAAAAACACTATTCAAAGACATAAAGAATCTGTTTTCACCCTGGCCCTGTCAGAACCGGGCACCTCTTCAGGGCCTCGGCGAGGCTAAGGTCGTATCACTGATGAAAAAAAAGAGAAAATTCTCATTCTACATACACGTTCTGATTTTCATGATATTTTTAGCTCATTGTCTCACTCTCAGGTCTATGTACGGTAATATAAACAATGACAACCTCCCACTTGCAGTTTGCAGTTTTTCATGAAGTATCTCAGCTTTGATCGCCTGAGATGCTGCTGAGAGCTGAAGTCTATTTGTTAATGTCTCCCAGCAGAGGTTTAAAGCCTGAGATTGTCAATAAATTATTCATTTTTTTTAGTAGACACTTAACGAGAACACACACTCCTGATGTTGAGCTTGACAGGTCAGGAGAAACATCAACAGAATTGAGAGATTTCAACTCTGTTCCTTGATTTTATTGCGTAGAAAACGTTGACAGGTCAGGAGAAACATCAACAGAATTAAGAGATTTCAACTCTGTTCCTTTATTTTATTGCGCAAAAAACGTTGATATCAAAATGAGAAATAAAAAAGAGAAACGTTCACAATTGAAAAGAATCACGTAGGACATTTTTAGAGAGACAGATCGGTGGAACAGGAAGTAGAGAAAGGACGTATGATGAGTTATCAAGACAAATGTAACGTGAGTCTTCGACCTCTTGGCTTTGACCTCTGAGTCAGTG